TACTAATGCTTTTTCATGCGCAGATTCTCTTTTCCTTAAAGAATCTTATGCCGGGAAGATGCGATACAGTAGTTCGCTTCTAGATAACTGGACACACACACACACACACACACACACATACACACACAAAGTTTCCTGATGTATTTCTTTCTTTTATTCTTTCTTTACTTGGTTCTTTTCGCTTCTAGATAACTGGACACACACACACACACACACACATACACACACAAAGTTTCCTGATGTATTTCTTTCTTTTATTCTTTCTTTACTTGGTTCTCCAAGCCAGTCTGTCGTTGATTTTCTCGTTCGCACTTAGATACGAGCTTGGGATACGAGCTTCTTGTATTTCCTTGACATTCGCCTTTCTCGAGAGACATCTCTTTTTCTCTCTTCATTTCGTTCTCGGCAGTTTTTCGATAAACATAAGATATAGAGGCTTTTATGCCGCACAATTCGTTTCCAATGGAAACAATTTTTGAATAACTATTTATAGTGATTTCAATTGATTATTAATTTTTCCAAAACATACTATTACTGGTTTTATCCTTATTGTTGTTCTCCTCAATGGTTTTCCGATAATTTCCAATTCTCGCTTCTAACTTCCTCGCTTTTCTTTTCTGTTTTATTGTGTGGCATTATTTTATTGCTGACGAAAATTTATAAATTATTGTATGACGAAAATATTGTATAAATAGAGAAGGAAATATTTATTTTTATGTTCTCATATACAAAAATGTGTACTGCGAAGAATATAATATTTGTAACGGAGAATTAGAATGAAAATTAAAATTGTTTAAAATATAAATCAAGAATAAAATAAAAACATTATTATTTATAATTTAATTGGTAGGAAATTTATAATTGATATCTCTTTAATAATTTTCTTTTTTTTCTATCGCAGAGAACTTGCATTGAGAATTTTATCCATTTCCTTAGAAATATTAAATCGATAAATCATCATTTCGCGATAAACAGGAAACCTAATCTATATGTCTCTTTTCTTCTGTACGTTGTTTGATCTTTCTCACTCTTTGGCTCTTTCTCTCTCGCGAGATTCAACATCGCGAACGTGCGCGACGTTATCTCTGCGATTTCTCTAAAGGGGAAGCGAATTTAAATTGGCGATCGCGAGCGATTCTACCATCGTTCACTTTCCCTGAAACGCGTTTGCCCTCTCCTTTTTCCTTTGTTTTTTCCCATCCATAGCTATTCTTCCACGTTGTGATTTTTTCTACGACTTACCTACCGAAGCTCGCATCGCAAATGTTCTCTTCGTTCTTCCTTCTTTGGAGAATGCAATGCGTCCGATGCTGAGAGGCAGCGTGATTTGCGGAAGGGACTCGCGACCCATGAGAGTTCTGGAAAGGAAGAAAAGGCAGACGCTGGGAGCGAAGATCGAGCTGTGTACGTGCCGTTAAAGGGAAATGGAAACGAGTGATCCGTCAGTCTCTCAATAAGCGATACCCGTTGCGGATAAAATCGCGGACGAGAGTGACACGTCAGGGTGAAAGGCTGCGACAGTCTACGTTTTGCGTTTCCTCCGCGAAATTAATGCACAATGCGAGAATTCGCTTTCGTTGTTGTGATAAGCCGCGTCGCGCGTTGATTACATTGGTCGACAAAATGAGACCTTTTTCTTGCCTTAAGTTCTATCAAATCATTTCTGAGACTTCTTGGGCTGGTTACGAATCTAGCCGTAAAAGTGGAGTATCACGTCAAATTTTTGAAAAAACCTCAGTCAAAGTTGCTAAAGCAAGCGTTTTTGATACTTTTGCGTGAGTTATATTGGATGATTGCATAAGTTCGTGCCCGATTTTCATAGATGGCATTAAGTTACTGCATGGCGGAGTTCTATTGTTTTCGTGTGGTAATTGTTGCTTACACCGAATAGATGACGTTGTCTTATGTCAATTTAGCATCAGACATTGTTCAGATAAGTCCATTGGTGCATAAGAGAAATCATTAAAAATGGAAAACGAAAAGGTGCATTTGCGGCATGTAATGTTATATAAATTTCGGAAAGGCGTGAGTGTTGGGATTGCACAAAAAAATATTCAAACCGTTTATTTGGACCGCGCTCCTGCTCTCCGAACAGTCAAAAAGTGGTTTGGCAGATTTCGAAATGGTGATTTCAACATGGAGGATCAAACCCGCTCTGGACGGCCTTCTGGCATTGATAATGACATTGTGCATGCCTTAGTGGAAAGAAACCCAAGGATTACAACTGAAGATATTGCTAAGAGGCTGAACATCGATAATTAAACCGCTTTTCGTCATTTAAAAAAGCTTGGATACGTTTCCAAGCTTGATACATGGGTGCCGCATCTCCTGACTGAAAGGAATAAGCTAAACCGTATGACTGTGGCTCTTTCTCTTCTCGAGCGTAACAAAAAAGAGCCTTTTTTAGATCGAATGGTAACAGGCGATGAAAAGTGGATTCTCTACAAAAACGTACAGCAAAAGAGGACATGGAAAACAGCAGCATCTATTGAAGTTTATATTTAAATCGGGCACGAACTTATGCAATCACCTGATATCTTTCGATGGGGACGTGCTCCAGAAGACAGCGATAGTTCAAAATGAAGCTTAAGATACTTTATGATAAAACTGCCAGAAGTCCCACGCAAGAAAGGTTCCCTTAAAAAAGTGATCGAAACGTAAGAAACATCATTTATCGCAATGTTCCACAGTCATGTCTCCAACCGACCATTATTAAAATACTAGTGCCAAAAACTACTCTAATTTTGTTAAGTGATAACGATCACAAAAGCCTACATATATTTACTTCCATGATTTGAATGAAAAATTCAAATTTTTCAAAAATTTGATCCGCCATTTTGGATTCTCCATTTTTAATTTTGAAATTTCAATACGTGATTCGTGATCAGGCAAACGTATACATTCGGATTTTCATGATTAGGACGATTTTTAAAAAAATTTTAGTAACGGACAATTGGAGAGACGTATGACTGGGGGACACTGTGATAGATGTTTCTTATGTTTCGACTATTTTTTTCAGGAAAATCTTTCTTGCCTGGGACTTTTGGCATTTTTATCAGAAATTACAAGTCTTGAGTTTCATTTTGAGCTGTCGCTGCTTTCTGGAACACGTCTCTATCGAAAGCTATAACTCATGCAAAAGTATCAAAAACGCCTATTTTAACAAATTTAATTGAGATTTTCTCAAAAATTTGACGTGATACGCTAATTTTACGGGCAGATTCGTAATCAGCGCTAAAAAATCTACCAGAAATGACTCGATTGAATTTAAGGCAAATTTGGTATTGAACAGTGTTATTGGAGACGTTGGAGAGGCTAAATTTATCGTTAACCACGAAAATACACACATAGTCGAGTACATTTGTTTGTAATTGATACGTTGATTATGTATACGTTGATCTTTAAATTTGGAATTTCATTTCCAATTGGGAACATTATAACTAATACAATTAACAAACCTGAATGTAAAAAAACTGCTGCTCTATGCAAAAAGATTTTATATTGTTTTTTATTAATATAACATAAATCTTTTTTCACTGTTCAGTTATTCTGACATAAGAAGATATATATTTTTAGAAACCCGCACACATTGTCCCTCTCCCCCTCCCCAGTTTCCAATGATATGCATTGGAATTTCGTTTCTTCGGGCGTAAATATCGATGTCGTATGCATGCCGTGTCTACGGCATACCATCGATAAACAGCCCGAAGAAAAGAAGAATGATGGCCTGGACAATGACAGAGGCAACAATGGCCGAGTCTCTGTTTTGTGTCTGGGCGAATATAACTCTGGCTGTGTTCAGGACCCTCGCGTGTTCTTCTTATCCAGGAAGTTATTACAGCTGGCGCGATATATCGAACCGGAGAGTCAGCGGAATGATGCATCCGTAATTACCGATAGCCAATTACCGTAAGAATGTCGTGGATCATACGACCCACGTTGCAAATACACATTCGGATGATTTCTTACGACGGGACTTTTCTAATTCCATCCGGCAGCCGAAGAAACGAATAATCACGTCGAAAAAAATATATTAGACGTTTCGTGGTAACGTAATGTATCGTTAGAGCAATTGATGTAACTCGAGTAATATAGTATTACGGTAGAAAGTACGCTTGTATAATGCTCTCTTTCTATGATAAAAGGTTGTAGGAAATCGACAAGTACATTCAGACATTTCTCGCATTGGATTTGTAATTTCATATCCAGCAGAGAAAGAAATAATCATGTCGAAAAAAAAAAAAAAAACTATAGTACAGGTTTACAACTATACTACAGACACTACAGGTTTCGTGATAATTTTTAAAAACATGTGCACTGAAAAAGTTACAGAATATTGTCCTTGACATTTGTCTAATTCTTCTCATATACTCAATATTCAGGATATCTACTCCCTGGAGAAACATGGAAAACCTGAAACTCTCAGGGATTCTTTTTGTATCTGGAAAAATCGGGAAATTTTCATAGAATTTTATTGAGACCAGGAATCTAAAAAAAAAATTTCTCTTTGATAATTTTGCTTTTACATTGTAACCAGTCAGTAATTCGCCAATAAGCCAATTTATGAATTATGTATTTAAAATATATTAAAATATATATCTGTCCCTGTTTATATATTCAACATCTTAAAATGTGCAGTTCATATTTTTTATTCTAATTTTTAGTGATAAAAAGTGAAAATGTTTTACGAATGAAAAATGTTCATATCAAAAACATATTCAGTTTTTTTTTTTAAATAAATTCGCAGATCTAGCACTTGAAATTTAAGTGATTATGTGTTTTTCCTTCGTATGAGTGAAAAGCATTAGAAAACATATACAATAAAAAATATTCTTTTAGAAAATAGTACGAAAAAATCTTTAAAATATTCTCCTTATCAAGACTTTTGAATAAAAATATCTGGAAGATCACAGAATCCCCAGGAAATTTTTTTACAAGTTTTGAGTAGATATTCTGGTATTATCACTCAATTATCATCTCTTCCGCGACTCTGATTGCAGAGCTACGACACCTTGAGCAAGGGCAAGAAGTCGTGGAGCGTACGATTGGGCCTGTCGCGGCAGCACCACCAGAATCCCGGGGATGATCCCGGCAAGGGCGGTTGGGGCACCATAAGCGGCGGCAGCGTGTACTCCCGCCAGATGATTTACGGCGGCGATCCGTGGCTTTACGGCACGGTGAGATCGTCGCGGACCGAACAACCGCGGCCGTTCTTGACACCGCCGCCGCCATCGGGCGCGGCACCGCTGCTCGTGGTATGTTCTTGCCCCGAGTTTCTCTCCGGCACCGTCAGGAAACTCGGCACCTGCCGCAAGTGCGGCGGCCACCGAGTCGCCGGGCTGCCCCTCGGCGGGACCTGCCGGCTACCGACATCCTCGAGGTCCAGGCCCAGCCTCGCCGGTAAGTAAATCCGTTCATCAATCCGTTCGCTATTTTATTATCGATTTTCCTTTGGGTTTTTTTCGGACAATATTTCGCGGACATACTTGTTTAACTACCGTTTCATACATACAGGGTGTTCTAGGTCAAGTCAATGACCTTCTTCAGAAACTTCAGAGTCTTATAGGAAATTGAATTTGAAACAAAAAAGTTTCTATAAACGTAGGTCTGAAAATGTTTCATTAAAAAGTTATAGCTAATAAACTTTGAAAAATCAGATTTTTTTAAATGATTTTTAAAAATAAACTTTAAAACCCTTCATTCATTTGAAAAAAGTAACGAAAAAAATCTGATGGGTAATTAAATAACAAACTAAATTACACCAATTTCATTTAATTCTGATAAAGCGTTTAAAAGAAAATAAGCTCAAAACAACGAAAAAAGTAGAAAAAATCATCTTACGATGTGTACACACTACATTCGTACTGCAAATATTGTAAACGCAAACATAAAAATGTTCTTATTAAATTTTGATCATAATTAATTATTGACAGAGTTTATTAGCTATAATTTTTTAACGGAATGTTTTCGGACCTATGTTTATCCGGACTTTTTTGTTTCAAATTCAATTTTTTATAAAATCCTGAAGTTTCATTGATCTGGAACACCCTGTATATGTATAATTCTCACGCCTTTAGATGTATAAATTATAATTAATTTAATATTAATATAAATTATATAAATTATAAATAATTAATACATAATATTAATTCTAATTAAAAAAATATAGAACGGGTAAATGTAAAATATATAAGAATATTTGTATTTCATTTGTCATGAAATGTACTTTCGTATACGAGGGCGTTGGTCGAGTTCGCAAGATAAGTGAGGGCGGAGTGTAAGAACTCCTGCCCGTCGATGATATTCACGCTCTAATTGCGCGCGCTTCGTACCAGAGAGAGATTTTCTCCTCGTTTGCGTTCGAGATAGCGTGTATACAACGAAGCGCAGAAAGTTCTCGGCCGCGGGCTAGATAACTGAATCTTACTCAGCGATGATGTTCTCGCATACCCGTATACTTTAGTTTCCATTTAAATCGTTTTAGACTGTATCGTACGCTTCTTCTCCGTTTATTCGAGTCGCGGTTGAGCTGCGATACTTCGCGAATCCTTAGAAATGTAAAGTAGCGATGTCTCAGACAATTGATACTTTACACTCGAATGGTTTTCGCAATGTGGTAATTGGATCGATTCGTTTTGTACCAATTTACCATTCGATGTGAAATGTAAACGCGAATCTATCAGTTGATTACTAGCATTACTTTTATTAATGGAAAGTAAAGATAATAGTCAATAAATGGTTGCAAAATTTTTGGTATACACAGGTTATATACGGTGCTTTTTTGTTTCTATAACGTTTAATTCGGAAATAAATTACTTTTAGATTTTGACAAAAGTGAAATACTATTATGTAAAATAGATATAAAAAAATATTTATTTCTTGAATTAATTTGCAGTCTGTTAAATTGCAAAGAAATTTCTCTAAGAGAATTAAAAACGCTCAAAAAAATTTCAGAATATAAATTCCTTAACATTTAATGCGAGACTAGAAACCGAAATATATATTCCCGGGAGGAAATATTGCGTTGCCGAGGGGAAAATTCCTCGAAATAATATCTATGGATTATAAATTGAAATGCGTGCCGTCACAAAAATTTTATATTTCGCGTTCGATCTAGAGATCTAGGTCGCCATAATAAATCGAATCGCAGGGGCCGCCGGGCGATTTCCTCTCGCGAGTACAAACGGTTAAATCTATTTGCTAGGCGTATTGAGGACTCCGATCGACGATCCGTACGATCAGATGCGACGAAACCGGCTGGTGGAACCGAGATTGCGGGCACGCAGCATCTCGCCGCATCGATCGTCCTCGCAGCGAGATTCCAGGAGCCAGAGCATGATTTCGCGGGCGGTCGCGAAGGAGCGGAAGGGCTCGGTCGAGGGTACATCGTCGTCGTTGTCTTCGTCGTCGAGATCCGAATGGTTTGATAAGGAGCCGAGCGCAGTTGCGAGCTACGACGATCGCAAATCGCGACCCGGTTTCTCCAGCGGTGGCGGCGGCCGGTCTTCGGATGATTGGATGCTGCAAGAGACTTCGGAAAGTCACTCGCGGATTCATTCCGTCGCGACAACGTCCGCGAGACTGACCCGCGTTTTAAAAAAGCCGCCGAGAGAGACGAAGCAGAGGAGAAGTGGCCAGGACGATTGGAAGGAAGGAGGAACGATGCCGAATGCTGCGGACTTGCGGAAGAGCATCCTCGAGTGCGATGTGAATCCGTATCTATTACTGAAGAAGCAGAGAGACGAGGACGATCTAAGCGACGATTTATCGGACAACGCGTTGGAGCAAGACGATCTCAGGACAATGTCCAGCCTGTTCGATTCGTCGAAAGTGAAATCGATCGAGAGGATACCGAACAGGAGCGCCGTGGCGGCGATCGGTGGTCAGCGAATCAGAGTGTTCAATGAGGCGTTCAGCAAAATTTCGGACGATGATGACGACGACGACGACGCGCCACCGCCGGTCACCAGAATCCCGATACCAAAAGTATCACCGAAGAGACCGCCGAGGAGACTAAAGGAAGCTCGGCAGACGTTGAAGAGCATCCTAAAGCGCGGCCGCGTGATCGAAAGTAAGAGGAAGAATGTGCTCTTCAACGTTGACAACATGATATTCGCACCCGAGAAACCATCCGAAGCGACGCGACTGTCGTGGAGCAAGATCGGCAGGATCGCCAATTGCAACAAGGAACAGCGAATCAGCAATCCCGGGTTTGAGCGGGAGGAAGCGCCGATCGTGTCGCAGGAACAGCAGGAGAAGCACAAATTCATCACGATCCCGAATATCAGGGACCCGAAGGTGGACAGGATCAGGTTCAAGGAGCCGAGAATCGTGCCGGAAGTGAAGAAGACTACCCCTCCCGGTCTCGATAGGATCAAGATAGACAAATTTGTCCCGTCCAGGAAGCCCAATCGTCCCGTCGCGTCCAAAAAGGACGAAATCAGCAACGTACAGCGATCTTCGCTCAATGCTTCGTTACCGTCGTCGAAGATCGTTACTAGAGAGGAGGAGGGGACATTATCTGGAGAGAGGAGATTGTTGGACGAGAGTACCGCCCGGCTCGAAGACGAGACTGAGCTGGAGATCGAGATCGAGGAGCTAAAGGACCGTCTGCCGTGCATTGCTGTGGACGAGAAGGATCTCATCTTAAAATCCGAAGGTAAGTTTTTTTTTTTTAAATATTATAGAATTCTTCATTTTACATTACTTACGTTATATTACATGCTAATGCTATCATTTTATTAAAACCATATTTATATACCAATCCGAGATTCCAGGAGGCTAACAGATTATTTTTCTACATCTCTATCATAATATTTGATGACAGCATATTGATTAATCGCATTGATAACATTATATTAAATATATGAATATAATATAATAAAAAAATAATAAAAAATATAATATATTATATTAAATATGCGACAAAAATAATAACAATAGAATCTAATATAACTTGTCGCTTTATTCTATATTTTTTAGCATATTTTTAGAAGATTTTCTTTTACATATATCTTTTTATTTGACGCACATGGTATATAAAATGCTTGCTCAGAATTCACAATTGTATAAAATATGTGATTCATGGATAGAATCACAGAATATATTGAAACAGAAAGAATTAAACTCTATCATTTTTTTTTCGATAATTATTCGATAATATTATTATATTCTTCATGATTAACATTATATCATTTATCATATATCGTATATTTTTAGCACTAGCTGTTATTTTTTGACACTACATGATATTAGCGTTAATCGTTTTACGTTGATGTTTTCCGAACAAATAATCAATTTCTGGACATATAAAATTTTCATAATAATGCAAGTCTGTTATTTTAGAGCTACATTAGTAGCTATAAATATACAGCTGTATATTGACAATTGATTTATCGACGATAATTATAATCGGTCTCTTTATGAAGCTGATACCTCTAAGCACCATGTGCTTACGGTCGTCCAGAGATTAATTTCGTACGCGGAAATATGCGAAATCTAAAAATATGACGCGGCCGTTTCGTATCGGGTAAACATCTGCGTTTATCGCGCATCGATAATCCTACATCGGCTGTTCGTCGACGTTTATCGTGTTATCATCCGGTTACGATCTCTCTTCCCTCCGGTCATTATGCTAATATGCGTGATTAATGGGCCGTTGAGGTTGACGCGGCTTATCGAGTTATCCTTGAACTTTCGAAAAAAATTACGCGTTCAAGGATGACAGCTCGCGTTTACTTACGCTTCTCTTAACGGTGCACAGCATTTTGTTCCCGAGGCTCTTATAAGGATCGTTGAATGCTGCGATTCACACATTTACAAGGATCATTGAAATCGCGATTCTTTGGCGGCGGAATTTGTCGAAAAAATATATTTAATCCGAGAACTCACAAATTCTAATAATCGCGGGCTAGTAAGAGCCAGAACCGAGAAATTGCATAAAAAATATGGAGATTTTTTTGTGTGTGGATATACATATAATATATTATCGTGCATAAAGTTTGGTAAATTAATACGAAAGCAAATTAACGTTGAATGCGGATACTGTTTGGAAGGCGCGGCTGAAATTCGCGGGTAACCTTCCTTAAGACCCACTTTGTCGATGACAGGAGGAGAAAGGTTAGCTGATCCTGACGACCTTGAGCCTTATCCTCAAGCTGTTTGCTTTAAATGTCGCTTAAAAGAGCCTTATAAGTTGTGACTGGAGCATTCGAAAGTGTATAAGGTCAGGGCTGGACAATTTATCATCTGGCTACTCGTTCCAAAGTTACGTAGTAGCTGTTACACATTTAAAAAAATGCTGCATCTTTTCTAGCACATAAAACGCATAAAAGGATATCTTTTTTAAGAGAGTTACCATCGTGGAGAAATTTATTAGTCGGTCGTAAAATTCATATTGATTTATTTTTATAGCGTTCGTCTTGCGACACGGGGATAGGAATCGATTATAAGGGGATTATTTTTTGGCGCGACGTAATGTAGAAAGAGACGCAAAATTATCGTCTCTTATATTTTTCAAGAATGAGGATATTATATCAAACAATGATAATTTTTTTATCACGAAATAAGTTTTTTTTCAAGTTCTTGTAACAATACTATTATCGCGATATTCATCGTGAAAGAAAACACGTTACTCTTTCCGGTGTTATATTATCTCGCATTCGCGACGAAAGAGGGAGAAGCCGTGAAAGTGGACGCGTGGGAAAGATACGAGACAATCGAAAACAATGCGAGCGACGGTCATCTTTACATGGAACGACGTGTACATATTTATCGGCGACTTCCTCCCTAAAGGAGGAAGAATAAAGTTACATACTAATTCCACACACTATAAGGATCATCCGATTTGATCCTATTGCCTATTTATTTTTGAAAAGACGCGCGTATTGTCCGATTATGATATAAAAGATCTCATGGCGAGCATCCTTTTGACAACAAGGCATCACGTGGCGCCGATTCGCGAGGCTATACTGCGAACAATTTCGGAAGTCTTCGGAAATATAATCTTATGAAAGTCTAATAGTTTTTAAATTGAATGTGCAATCTCATTTCTATCGACAATTCCTTTCGCTATTTCGATAAATGTTATATCATTCTCGGCGAGTTTGTTCTAAATGAGCAAATAAATTCTTCTAGTTTTTCTAGCATATCCGATTTATTTACACAGTTGGAAAATTTGGCTTGAATTTAGCATGTTTCAAATGATCCACACAAATTTTTGTGTTTATTTAACATAATATAGATATATGTCAAATGGTGACAGTAATATTATGTTAATATTTCAACACAAAAATGAATGCAAACTTCATAGTAATTTGAAATAAATTTTATGTAAAATCAACATATTTTTAATGATAAAATTAACTTACTGTTAGAAAAAAAAATTATTGACGGCTTGTAGTCATTCTCACTCCTATTATAGAATGAAATCAATTTTTTTTTTTCTGTAAATTTTAACAAATAAGTTCTGTCACCAATAATACGGATCATATATATATATATATATACAGGGTGCGACATTTTCCATCTGTGTAGGAATTAAAAAGTTTATTACATTCCTTCCATGTGCTAAAAACATTTTATATTTGTTGCATATACACTTTAACAACTTAATTTGTGGATTTTTTTGAGATCTTCTATGAGACTAAATGTATCTTTTTCGAAAAGGGCCTCGGAACCAGGCCTGACATTGCAACATGACAACGCGGATTTAAGAATGTAGAGCTCGCGGTACAAATTAAGCCTGCAACGCGGACGCGAGATAAGACGTGACGGAAAAGTTATGTGAATTAACTCGTTTGATTGGCGTTGAAACGTGCCGCATCGACCGATTTGTAACGCGGCTCGTTTAACTGTACCGGTCTCGTTTGGAAAAAAATGAGAGTTAGATTCCGTCTTATTAATAGAAACGAGCGTGCGTTAACGATCATTGCACCTCTCTTTACGTACGCCATATTAATTAGTGTTGCGATTAATTGATATTCCGTGCGCGATCTTTGCCAGTCGTCATAAGTTACGTTGGCTCCTACTAATAGCAACTGCAGTAGTGGTAACAAACTGGTATTATGACGCAATAGAACTTGCAATCGTGATACTGGTACATGATACGGTGGCCGAAGCAGTTTTTCGATATATTTGCTCGCGATATGTCGAGTGATCGAGGCGAGTTAACATATAGCTGACGTCAACGGTATTATGCTTTAATAAAATTCGCGTCAAGCTGCCAATCTTTCGAAAAACATTGAGGGTTATTCTTGTCTGTCCTGTTCATCAATAGAGATTAGAATTGATCCTGATTAACGTCAACGTTTTTTTCTGGGCACAAAAAATATTTCCAAATATGTCCAATAATTTACAGGAAAATTTCTAGAAAATTGAATGCAAGAACGAAAGAGCTATTTGCAAAGAACATAAGAATGACAGGTAGAATATTTTAGAGCTATTTTTGCAAAGTCTACACTTTCTCTAATATATGTAATTGTCTTTTATAAGCACAGAAAATTTCATGTTTTTTTATTAAGAAAATTTATATAGACTCTCTCTCTCTCTCTCCCTTTCTCGGTTCTTTTTAAATATTGTATAATTTATTTTCTAGGAAAAAGGCCATAAAAGTAAACTTTATTTGCGAGAGACGTAGATAGTATAAGGCATTTCGGAGCAAAATTTCTTTTTCTTCGTAAACACCTCTTGTGCCCGATCTCTATTCATGATTGCTCATGAAATGTGGTCGTGTACTTTTATGCTTGCGGCGGTATGTGAATGTGTAACGAAGAATAAAACAAATTCCCTATATGATGACTTCCGGTGATCGTGTTTCCGGTGTAAATGCACTGCGCGGCGTTAGATAACCGCAGGCGAGCGACACGACGACGAAACGCCTCATGGACACGGTGTATTTTTCTCTCTTCTTCGTACGCGTTTATAGTATCCGCCTTCATATTTATCGCTCGCGTACACGTACATTTAATACAAGTCATCAATCTTGAGAGAAAGGTCATTGAACGCAACTTATGAAAATAATCATTAATTATGTACATGATATCACCAAAAAAGGTTTCTGCATCCACGAGTGTTTAATAAGCATTACATATGAACTTAAAATATAATTAAAATTTAAAATTTAAATTCAAAAGCTAAAAAAAAAAAATATTTCTAAATTTTAATTATTATTTTATGGAATAAATAAATCTTGCTATTAATATCACTATTGCTTGAAATTTAAATAAATTTAAATCTATATGTATAATATATTCGATGTATATATGTTTAATATTTCAAGGATATAGAATATACATATCTCCATTCATTGCTTTGTACGTTCATCTTCAGTCTTCCCCCTTCACGGTGTTTTAATTAGCTATTCCCAGTCTACTTTCTAAGCTCAAGCACGAGCGAGCGCGACGCGTTCGAATTATAAAATCCAAATGCCGATTTCTTTTCCCAGGCGTGAATCTTTTTACGTTCGTTTCTCCTGTTCGCGCGGACGGCCGTACAATTCGATTCATACACGCGTGCGATACATATCGTAAATTATTTTCATCGGTTTCACATTCTATATTGCGCGTACGATAATTCAGGTATAATGTAATAATAACTGAATGAGACGGTGATTCACATAAAGGATCGCTTTCGCTACACGCTTTCCACTTTGGAAATTAA